GAACTCTATTTCTGTGTCTCCAATCCAACAGGTCTCCATGCTTTAAATCATTATATCCTGATTAAAGTACACCAGCAACACATCCCTTCAGAAGAAAAAGCTTTTAGTTCAACATAAGATATATGGCATTTGGGGAAAAAAGGCTTGACTTGCATAATTCTGATCTCAGTTGCTGATTCAATGCTGTTCCTGGGATCTATCTTTTTGCTCATGTCTTGGGCTTAGGTAAGTAGACCAGTATTCTCTATACCATTTTGGTTTTTTTACCCATTTGCTTTACAGAATGGTTTCAAGGATATAATTAGGTAAGCAGTGTGAAAAGTGTATTCCCAGATGCTTTTTGGTCAGTTCTGCCTGAGGTAACCACCAACAGCCTCTCTCAGCTTAATGATGCCTACTGTTGGCAGTGCTTCTGCCAAAGAGTGAGGTTAATGTCAGGAAATAAAATAAAATCTGCTTAGTAAACACTGCAAAGAAAACAGGTTATGTGTTAATGTGCTTGCACCAGCTATTCCTCTCTGAGGCTTTATTTTCAAGTTTTGTTGTTTAAATTTTGGTTGTTCATACATGGTTAAATTTAAACAAACTTTGAAGAAGCTTGAAATGATAGAGATGAAATTAAGAGATAAAAGATGTCTGTCAGGTGTTTGGCAACTAGTCCATACTTCCACTAGCATAGGAACACTTGTGTGATCTCAGTTGAATTTCTTAGGTAAGAGACATCTGCCACACACATTTCACTTTTAGAAGGGTTTCTCTAATACTCAATGTCATTTTCCCTAAAGGAAAACCACTGCAGAATTTAACAGCAATAGCTGTAGAGAACATCATAGAAATTACATTTCTATACCTGCAGGACTGAATAGAGATTAATACAACTTACACATTCCTATTGAGGTATTTTATTGCATTTTATAGGAAGAATACAATTTTCTCTTAAATTATATGGGATAGTTTAAAGAACAAGGTTGTAATTTCCTTAACAAATGCTTTTAAGACCTTCCTATCATAGTCCATGTCTTAAATTTCATCATTGTCTCTATAGCTTATTTAGGCAAGTGTGGCCACCCATACGTGACGAAACAAATTAAAAAGGGCACATAATGTTCCAGTTTCAAGTACTTGGGTGGATGGGGTTGTTTTAATATACATATATCATACTCTTCCAAGCTATCAAAGACCTTTGGATGAATTGGGTGCAATATATTAACTCAATTACAGCGGAAACAAAGATCAAAGAATGTAGCTGGGAGGTCTTATTAAAGTATGAGACTTCATTAAAATGTCACTGGTTTTGATTATACTGGATTAAAGTGTCTGAAATTTCACTTAACTTCTTCATGTCCCCTGAAAAGAAAATTCTGCTGGGTAACTGTAAGTTCACAGTTTCAGAACTTGAGTGTTGTTATTAAAGTGGACTTTTCATAAATTGGTTAAAAACACCAAAGATCTTTTTTGTTCATTTCTGACACTGAATATATAATTTCATTTGCTTCAATTTGTTTCCTTTTTCATTTGTGAATTTTGTTTCTGACTTTTACTCATTCACATCCATCTTGGAAATACTTCAGTTTTCAAAGGAAATAATGATTAAAACCCCTACTTTTCCTCTATTTAAACGAAATAAGAACACAGGAATGAGATGAACACATAGAAAGGTAAAAAGTCCAGTTTTTCCCAACTGGCAGAGCAGTGCTGAGCTTTCCAAGGAAAGGTGTTAATGGGGAGCAGTTTCTGTGTGCTGCAGTGCTCAGCTGATCTATTTCTGCCTCTCCAGCCAAGAAACAGAATGCACATCAATGCTGAGCACTGCTATCAGTGGTAATAGTCCTTTAAATTGGAAACAATCACTGTAAAGACACCTAACAGACATTCTCTGGTATATAATAACAAGATTGAGAAAAAGATCACTTTTCTTAATTCGTTTATTTTCCTGTTGCTACACATGATGTCAACACTTGTTTGTAATTTTATTAAAAGGGTGATGCACCCCCTGTCGTGACGCAGGAGCAGTGAAAAGTTTGCATCTTGTTATCTTGCACATCCATCATATTTTGTGCCTGATATTGATACAGCCCTGCTCAATCTCTCTTCAAGTGCCAGGGTAGAGTCCAGCCCTGTCCCTGCTTTTGTTGAGAGAAGCCCCCATTCCACGGGATTTAGGCTTTCAAGGTACATAGCTCAGCATGCACTTAACAAAACATTAATTCATTCTGTAACTAAATTGATTTCTTGCTTTGCTGTGTACACGTTCCTTAAATTACAGTGCAAGTAAAACACAGAGCATGCACTTCCACCATAAGAAGAACACAATTTTATGAGCAGCAGTTGCCAGTGTTATGGATCTCCCCCCAGATCTGGAAAGGCTCAGGACGAGATAGCAAGGAAGTAGCGTACTACAGATAAACAGAGAATAATTCCATTCATTTATGGATTGTTTCAGGGATTCTGAAAGACTCTGCTAATACTGGCTATTAGGATAGAGAAGATGGGGAGAAGAGAAAATAAATTCATTTCTCAATCTATTTAAGTGAACAAAGAATTGCGTGTGAAACTGAACAGAGCGTGTCAACAAAGCTCACACGAAACAAAAAAAGAAAAGCAGCTTTATTTTGCATAATTGTGTCTGAATCACTGAAGATTTGACAGAACCTGTTCCATTCTAAGCCCCAAGGTCTTATTTAGGCAGAGCACAATATCAAATACCCTGTAATGTGTTTTTTCTGGGCTAATCTAACATCTCACAGGATATCACGCAAAGGGACAGCACAGGCAGTTGAGTGGTTTCCTTGGTTTATATTCAGTCTTTGCAGGACTTATTCCATCTGTCTGTTGAAAACTACGACAGTGCACTGTCAGATCTCTCCAGTTTTTTAGGGTGGCTTCCTTATCTCTAAAATAGGAACGAAATAAGAAATATTAGTATGTTTCTGGTAAGAAGGAGATAAGGTTTAACCTCTGAACACTTGTAAAGGTCTTCAGAGGACACTTCAGAAGTGCCTCATGCTATAAATTCTGGTTTTATAAGGTTTTTTACTATCACTAGAGTATTAGGAACTTCACCTTTTAACCTTTATGCACATATGTAACCTGACATAATGGAGGCTCATGGAAAAGCTTTCATGACCAGCATTGTCTGAACACCAGACTTGGCAGAAACCTGAAGGAACTGAGCTATGACTCTGCAGCAGGGTAAATCACTCCAAATTTTGCCTTCCTTATAAAAGGTAAGGGTCTAGAAAAACTATGACCAAGACTTCCTCAAATCACAATATTTTATCTGAACAGAAGTAAGTTGCATTTACAAAATTGCTGATATCAACAGTCTAATATTAGCAGGGTAAATGCCTTGAGATAAGAATTAAGATTGCCTGCTGAGCATCCAAAACTCCACAGCATCAGCAGGCACTAAAGCAGCAAGAAGCTTGGAAAAACGGCTCCACATCTGATAGAGAAAAAGCACAATAAATCAAAGATAAAGCAAACTTTCTAGATAACCAGGAGCATTTAGTGCCATTCTGATTAAACTCCTCTACAGGAAATGAGTCAACACAGCCTCCATGCTTTCCCTGCCTTTCTGCCAATTTACATCTTAATGGATAAACTGGTTCGGGTTACTCATTTGGCAAAGCAAGGGATTGATTTGCAACCTTTCATCTTGACTGCTCCCATCAACTTCTGCACGGCTGTTCAGGGCAACTGAGCACAGCCATGGGCAGGCATTTAAAGATTAACAGGTTTTTGCAGCATTCCAGGGGGATGACAAAGCCATCAAAATTCATTATTTTTTTTTCCCAGTATTTCACACACATTACACGTGACTGCTGCAGTTATTACACCAGTGGCTTTTCAGAAATCTTGCACTTTAATTCTGGGATAGAGGGGGGTTTTCACCTTGAAGACACGAGTTATGAGATTATGAGAAGAATCTCCAGTTTCATTGAAAGAGTGTTTTTTGTCCTTGTGTTTGTAATGCAAAGCCTTGAAATGCCAGCTGAGTTACAAAGGATCAGTTGTTCAGTTGCACTACTTAGCATGAAGGCAAGTCCAGTGTGAGCCAAAGCAAGGTTTTTAGAGGAATATGGTACCATTCATACACACCACCTGGAGGGGCACAGAACGTCTGAATTCCTGGATACTTCTGTACACTTGATGAGTGTGAACTCATGGGGCTCTGTCGCCCTTCCACCCTCCAGAGGACCTTGTCACCTCAGGGGAAAAGGGATGTCATTATCTGGGGACAACATGGATGGTGGGAACATCGTTCTACGGCATCCGCTCAGTTTTGGGTGGTGGTGACCTGCACCTCGATCTTCTGCTTCATTTCAGGAGGTCAGGGACAGCACCTCAACCTCCTCCCTCAATTTAAGGGTGACACAGAGCACCCAAGCCCTCCTGCTCAGCGCCGGAGGTCATGGACAGCACCCCAACTTCAACTGCAATTTAAGGGTGGCACAGAGCACCTCAACCTTCCTGCTCAGTACTGGAGGTCAGGGACAGCACCCCAACCTCCTCCCGCAATTTAAGTGTGGCACAGAGCACCCAGCCCTCCCGCTCAGAGCCAGGGTCAGCGCCCACTCCCCGCTGGTGTTGGGCCCCTGGGCCGCACCCCGGCCCGGCCCCTCGCGCCCCCGCCCGCGGGCTGCGCTGGCTGTCCCCGGCTCAGGGAAGTTCGCGCCCCGGGGCCGCGGGTTCGAGCCCCGAGGGGGGCGGCCATTCCGGGGCCGTGTCAGGGGCGGCTCCCGCCGGTTCTTGCGGGGGGTCCCGGCCGGGCAGCGGCGACCGCGGGCCCAGCGCACATGTGCGGCCGCCCGGCACATGCTCACTGAGCGCGGCGCATGAGCAGAGGCGGCGCGGGGCCATCGGACATCTTGGGCCGCCCCGCACGGAGCGGGCAGCGCCGCCGGTCCCGGGGCGGGAGCAGCCGCCGCCCCCGCGCCGCCCGGCCCGCCCGCCCTGGCGCCGGCTGCCTGCCCCTCCCGCGCTTCCCCCGGGCTGCTCTGAGCATCCCTCCGCCCCTCTTGCATTTGTCTTAATTCTTCTCAGAGACAAGATGGCAACGCCGGCGGCGGTAAACCCTCCCGGTGAGTAGCTGCCGTCTCGCCCCAAGTGGCCCCGCCGCACAACACGCCCCCGCCGCCGGCTCCCCCCGCCCGGCCCGGCGCGGTCCCCACAGCATTCCCGCGGGGCCCCGGGCCGGGCAGAGCCGGGCCAGCGGAGCCGGGAGCCTGTGGGGGTTCCTCGGGACACGCCGCCCCTCTGTCCCCGGCTGCCGGCGCTCGGTGCAGCCGTGCAGACATGAACAGTGGTGCATAAGCATTGGCGGGCACAGGGCAGCGGAGCAGCGGGGCCGGCAGTGCCCTGGGGATGAGGAGCAACGCTGGCTTCCCCCGTCCCTGCGTTTGTCAGCTTTATTGTCGGCTCCAGAAGCCGAAACGGTGTTGAAACTGACCGTGGGCACCTCGGCATGTGCCCTGTGTTTGTTTTCTTTCCGAAGGATGCAGTAAATATTTGCTGTTAGTAGTAGAGTTATTGACAAAAGAAACTTACAAGCATTTTCCCATTCAGTTTTTTCGTGAGGGAATTCCCCGACGTTTTGTTGTGTGTCTGTGAGATGTAACACCTGTTTTGTTCAGTGCCTGACGGAATAAAGTGAGTTTGGGTGAAAGGCCAGAGTCATATTTTGGAGATGTACTTGGGTCAACTTGGTGTGGATCAACAAGTATCTGACACTAAAAATAATTGGGATGACGGATCTTGCACTGGGCTCATTACTAAGGAAGAATATTGCTATTAAAGGTCAATTTCAGTTTTACTTGTTTTTAATATGTGCTTGCATTGTGTCATTTTTTGTAGAGTCAGGTTGAGTTCTGACAATTAAAGCCTTGCTTGAGTAAATGCCAACTAATGTTTAAAGCCTGTTCATTAGATTAAATCCTGCTGTAGTTGGTAGTGTAGTTGACATGCTGAAAGTAAATATTATGATATAAACAATGAATTTGGTTCAGTAAGCACCAGTACAGTAAGCAGAAACTGATATTTGTCAGTCAGAGTAGGTTTTAATATCAGAGTTCTACATATTAAATGAAAATCAATATTTAAGGCAAGGCAATGTTTAGCTTCCAGGGTACCATGTTGTGCATCACAGCAGAAAGCTTCACTGAGTGCACTCAGTGAAATCAGTTTTGCAGGCAGAGGAGGATACAAACAGCATTTTTTGACTTGGGTTTGGTTTGCAGTTCTCCTGTCTGCTGTCCAAGCTACACACTGAAGGAACAGCCCTGTCCGCTTAGAGGCCAGTGCTGAAACTGCTGAGTTACAGCAGAGCCCGGCGCCCCTTTAGCACCAGCCTTTCCCACTTTCTGTGCCACCTGCCTGAGGCTGAACCCACGAAAAGATGTGGTTGCAGGAGGTACAGCATGCTCCTAGCTGAGTAGGGCTTCACCATTGTTCTCCTGTGAGCACTTGGTGAATTGAGGGATTGTAATGGGATTATTGAGGAAAGAAGGGCCAGGTGTGTTCCCTGTGCACATCTCTGTGAAAGTTGACCTGGAGTGTGGTCCTCAAACTCTCTGAAGCACAGGTTGCTGGTCCATGTGAAGGATAAGGAAAGGTGTTGGTTTCCTGAAGGGAACCAAGATCCCTTCTGCAAGGCTGAGGTTACAGAGCATCGTTCTGCTCCTGTCTGGGTGGCTGGAGCAGATCTGAGCTGAAAGACAAACTTGCTGCCTGTTAGTGAGCCTCCCACGTTTTCTGAGCGTGAGAAGTGTTGTTGTCAGACACCGGGGCGGCGAAGTGGAAGTGGGGAGCTGTGAGGAAAGGAGACCCCCAGTCTGTAGCATAGTGCTGCCTTTGCTCTGCCACGGACAGCAGAAGATAGAGCTGTGTGAAATCCGTGCACTGTACTGTGGCTTTTTAAAATCATAATCTGTCGCTGTTCTTTTTTTTTTTTTTTTTTTTTCCTAGTAAGTAACTGCAAAGCAATGCAGAAAAACAGTCAAAATCTGTAGCAAAATGACTTTAATCCTGTTGTTTTCTCTTGGGGACAGATCCTCAGCTGGAGTAAGATGAAAGTAGCCCTATTAGTATTAGTGAAGCTATGCCACCTTGTGCCAGTTGACTTTCTGATCTGCAATGTTAGGGGAGCACAATAGAAGATTAACTTGTTAAGCATCTTTAATGATGATTAGAAATTACAATATGATTAAATTTTTATTAAGCAATTGTCTGGGGTTCTAATAACAGTTGGTAATTTAGGCAGGACATTAACTTGCAGCTACCACAATACAAATACATGTGGTTTTAGTCATATTCTAGATAGTGGAATGGGGATTAGTGGAGAGAGAAGAGCTGGGTGTTCTCTAACTGTGTGAAGGTCCTTCTGCTGCAGACCCATGCAGTGCTCTGTGGCAGCATCTTCTCTCTTGTGTTAGATGCAGATTTATCCTTTTCCCCACTGATCTTTTTTTAATGGAGAGCTCCGGTTTGGGAAGTTCATAGAAGTGGGAGCAGTTTGCATTCTTTCCCACCTGAGGCTCACAGGAACTGCAGTGTCAGGGACCAAATTTGTGGTGGCAGTGAGGCCACCCCTATGGCTTCGTGGGTTGTGTTAGATGTACACTGATGGTTCTTTTTGGTGAGGGTGTATAGCTGCAGCTGGGCATCACCCTGACACAGCTGAGGGGCTGTGTGGGAGAAGCTGCTTCCTCTTGCTGCAGGCTCAGCCTTGGAACAGGTCTGGCTGGGAGTGCTGGGTTGGTTTCTCGTACTCTGGGTGACAAACTGAAGTGTGAAACAATACAGGTGTGTGGGAAGCTCATCTGCATTGGCACAAAGCATCACAGTTAATTTATTTCCTCCTGAAATAAGATTGGCATATTAAATGGGATTTAAGAACAAAAAAACTGTGGAGGTGTTACAAGCATTTTGTATATTACCGCTTGCAGCAAAGTGACTTAGTGCCATGTCTGTTTGAAAGGTGTTATTTTTGGAATGCAAACTTTGTCCGTAACTGTTGCTGCTTTGGGTTCGGATTTTACTTAACTTGAGTGCAACAAACGAAGGGGTGATTCTTGTATTAGCCAGGGTAGGATGAAAACATAAAACTCTTCACAAGTTTAGGAGTTTTTTATCCTAAGACATCATCTGGTTTTGGGTGATGAGTTTCAGTCTGGCTCAGTCTGAGGAGCAACTTTCTGCTGTGATCAGGTGATGAGAAATGAACTGAAAGGCATCACTTCAGTTCTCCCACTGAGGTACCCCTGAATGGAAGGTGGTACACACAAGTGTATTGCCAAAATGCCATGAACTCAAAAGTCAAGTCAAGAGAAATCATGAGATTTTGCAGTTTATCTAGAGTTACTTTGGAGGGAAGATCCCACAGGATGCATTTTTGGTGATGTTTTACAATTTTATAAATCCTTAGGGCTGTATTTTTGTATTTAATTGGAAAAAAAAATTAACTGGGTTGTTCATGTAATCCCTAAAGCTCCTGGTATAGAGAATATATCCTCCAAAGAGCATTTACTAGAAATGTGTAGAGAGAGATGTTGTGATATGAGAGAGAGGAATTGCTGGGGCTTAGGACATTGCTGCAACCACAGCAGCTCATGAAGGGTACTTTCAGCCCATGGCTGATCCAAAATATAAAAAAATGGCGTTTTAACTTAAAGCAAGATTATTAAATAAGCTCTCTTTACTTTCAGTTTGTAGTGAGCTAACAGCAAGTTTTCTGTCATATTCATGAAGACTTGTACGCCCTGCATCTGGGCTCTTGGTTTAGATGAGTGCATTGGGTTCTGGGAGGTGGTTTGGGGGTTTTTGTGTTTGTTTGACTTGGGAGTTAATTGGACAGAAATCATTCTTCTATTTGAACTAGATATTGAGTCCTACCCAGTCCTACATTTGAGCTGAAGTTACTAAGATATTAAGTGCTATGGAAGAATCTTTTTGATGCTGCTCAGTTCATATTCCCGAAAGGAACTGACTTGCTGACAATCTGGCCATTCTTTTCTTTAGATTTCCAACAGCTTTGAAATTGATGATTAAAAAAGGAATCTACTTCAGTGTTTTAGATTTCAAAATCATTCAACTCAAAGCCCAAAAGTTGTGTTTTATTGCTGCTGCTCTGCCCTTCATTACAACACAGACTATCCAGTAAGCTAAAAAAATCAATTTAACAGCATCCTGGGGAGTAAATGGAGTGTTGTAGTGATGGAGGTTATAATGAGCTCTGATGTTTCTGGTATGCAAAAAAGTAGTCATCATTCTAGGGTGAAGTCAAAAAAAGGGTTTCAAAATTAGAACACTCATTAGCTAATGGGAGGTTTACATTGCAGATCGTTTTCTTCTTGTGTTTTCATAGCTCTGGTACTGCAGAATTGGTCCTTAATTCAGTCAAAATGTGGTATGAGATGCCAGTGCCTCTTGAATTGTTCTGTGATAATGTTTTGCCCTTCAGGACTGTGTACTGAGCAGTAACTGGCATTGAAGAAATGCCATTATTTTTATATTTCTAATATTCAGGTATAGGGTATACAAAAGATTTCATCTCTTCTATCACAAAATAGTTATTTAAAATTTGCATATGTAGCTTGTGGTTGGTTCCAAATATTTTTTCAATAGAATAATATTTTCCCATTCCTCTAATAAAAATGCAAAACAAAAGAGATATTGCTGATTTCTGTAATACCATATGGTGTTGCTGATATTTCTTAGCAGTAAGGAAAATTGCAATAGAGATTAGGTAGAAAAGAAAAAAAAATAGCCTTTTCAAAATAGTCAAGGCAAAATAACCCTGTTGATGTAGTGATTATTGTTATTAAGAGGACAGAAATGGGGCTGTCATTATGAAGATGTATTCAGAGATTATGCTTAAATGGTTGTGAAGATCAGATATGTGTGTCGCTCAGAGTAATTTTGGGGGGCTTACTGCTTCAGAACTGACAAGCAGGAATGGAAAATGTGTTAATTCAGTGCTACCTGCAGAAATTACAATGTTATTAAAATATGCAGTAGGAAAGAGAAAGAGGGGTCTTGAGTTTAAGAGATGGGAATTTAGATCACGGCTCTTGGTGTAGATCTC